AAGGAGCGCATAGGCTCAAGAATATTAAAGCCAAGCAGCACGCATTGGAAAATAAACTTAACTCCCTACATGACAGCTATAAGGTCACAATTTCAAATCACCATGAGGGAAATCAATTCTATGAAACTAGAGTTGGAAAAAATTCCTAATGATCAAACCACCCTGCTATTTATGAAGGCTATACTCCCCTTCCGTGACTCCTCTCCCTCTACGGGGAAGATCCTAGCGAGAATGGTCATATCCAGGCGGAACTGTAACTACATATCCTATATCCATAAAGAAGGGCTGCCCCTCACAAAGGTAAAGGAAATACATTTCCACTTCAAAGACTTCTACAAGGTTTTAGATTTGAAGCTTTCGTGACTGCAAGAATTCATATTCTTAGGTTTTTTCGGTAAAGTCACGTAGGTTAAACATTAAAATTAATAAAAGTAAAATAAAATAAAATCACGACGTTTCGGAGGCAACACAAGCTTCCGTCTTCAGGTGAAACCATCACAGCCACGACATTTACTTGATGCAGCTGTCGTGGCTGTGACGGTTCCACCTGAAGACGGAAGCTTGTGTTGCCTCCGAAACGTCGTGATTTTTATTTTATTTTACTTTTATTAATTTTAATGTTTTACCTACGTGACTTTACCGAAAAAACCTAAGAATATACTTCTACAAGGCCCTATATTCATCGGACTCCCCTACAAGCAAGAAAATAAGACACTTATTTCAGTAAAATATCCCTTAATAGGTTGAACTCACATGTGGTAGAAGAGCTAGAGATACCCATTGACCTACAGGAACTTAATGACACTCTAGCATCATCCTCAGCAGAAAAGCAGCAGGCCGAAATGGATTCCCCGTAGAACTCTACACATTTTCTCCCAACCACTAGCATCTAAAAAAGTGTGACTAAATGTCATGAAGTGTTAAACAGTACGTGTTGCGTCGTAGAACCACGCGGAGACAGAACTTCTTGTAAGGGCTTTCGCCATTTACTAACACGGTTAAACACTCGGTCCTTCCCGTGGACCCCCAAGCTCTACTCGTCCTAACCTCGGCTATCCCTTGGGCTCTCTCACTCGGGCCGGGACGGGGGTTCATCCAACACCGCCCGGCCGAGGAGAGAAGAACCCCACTCACTCTCAGCCGATTCTCACAGACTTCCTCGAGCCCTACTCTTGGCTATCTCTTCGGCTCTCCCACTCGTCGACCCCAGACGGGGGTTCAGCCAACACCGTCCGGTCACGAGCGGGAGAGACCTCCTTCAGCCGATCCACACTCCGGGCTCCCACAACGACCCCGCCTTCGTCACGGGGGTCCCCCTTAAGTACCCCTTGGGTGGCTCCTCCCGTTCACTCGGACCCGCCCCTGTTCTCGAAGGTGTCTCCTTACAGCGCTCATGACAACTACTCTACACATGTGCTTGCTGATGGAGGCCTTTTGGGGTGAGCAGTGGTGGAGTTATGCAGACGAAGGTGCAAGTTCACTTGCTTCTTCATCTTACAATGAAGCTGGAGATACAGGAATGTTCACCAAACGAAGCGTGCTCTCTTCTGTGGGCCTTCAGGATTTAATGCAGAACTTTATTTTTTTTTATAAATACAGCTTGACATCATTTTTATTATTCTGCTGGTAAAGATTCTTCTTCCAGTGAATGCCACTGGTTAATGTCCTGTTATGTATGTATGTATGTTCAATTTATTTCGTACCGTACGTACATAGCCAACCGTACGTAGCCAACCGCGCTACTCAGAGCTTTTGTTCTCGGTTTGAATCATCCTCTGAAGATATCCATTCTTGCTTCGACATTAATAAAAGCCTATGAAAATCTCTGTGAAGTTAATATCCGTGGTGATATTGGTGGTATCATTTCCTCGGCCTTTTATTCAGCTCATGGTTCAGATTCTCACTTGACAGGTCCTCACAATGGCACTCAAGCAAATCCACCATGATTGACTCCTCCACATTGTTGAGTCTAGGCTTTCGGTGGTAAACGCGATGCACGTACGGTATTGTATTCCATCACAATATATTAAATTTTCACTGCGTACGTTCCTAGTTTCAAAATTGCACGTGAAGTTATTTGTGTAAGCCTTGCAAAGAATCCGATGGTGTGTTGGCAATGTGAATGTCTTGGTTGTTTTTTTACAAACTAAACTTATTTTACCAGGTAAGGCCCACTGAGCTATGTAGCTCTTCAGCAGTGACCTGGTCACAGATGATAGCTCAACTAAGTGGCTTATCATGTAGAAATGTATAGTAGGCAAATACTCTAAACGCAAGTTGATTCTAAATGTGGAGAGAAAAACCGGAGGACCCGGAGAAATATCCAAAATCTAACAGCAGTGCGTACTGACTGTGGTGGTACCTGCTATGATTACAGCAGTGCATACTGTGGTGATACCTGCTTTCACTGCAGCAATGCATACTGTGTGGTACCTGCTATGATTACAGCAGTGCATACCGACTGTGATGGTACCTGCTATGATTACAGCAGTGCATACCGACTGTGGTGGTACCTGCTATGATTACAGCAGTGCATACTGACTGTGGTGGTACCTGCTATGATTACAGCAGTGCATACCGACTGTGGTGGTACCTGCTATCACTACAGTAGTACATGCTGACTCTATAGCAGTATTTATTGACTCTATAGCACAAAGTACTCATCTGACAGAGTGGAGTGGTGAGGCCTAGTCCCGTGCAGAGCCTCCGGCCTCGCCTAGATTGACGGCCTATAGTGGTAGCATCTACCGACTGTATAGTAGTAATAACTGCACGCATCGGGGAGGGGGGGGGACATGAGACAGTGAAGAATTAACCTGAGCATTTAGTGTATTTTTGTAGGATTTTTAACGCAAAATAAAATGTCCCCCTCACTCCCACTGAAGGCGTGCGACTTGGCATGGGCCATCCATACCAACTCACGCACCAAAGGCGCGTGAGTTGGTATGGTCGTGCACGCGTCATAAAAAAATAAGTGCGCGAAATCGCACTAAATCGCTAATTAAACTAATTGAATGTTGACTGATGTAAAAAAGGAATAGTGCTTGCTCACGGCAGGGCTTACGGTGTGGTACCTGGCTATTTATTTTTCGTAAACCCCACCGTTGGAGAGCCAAGCGCGCGACCACACACAAACCCACAAACCCCGCCACAATTTTTGACTTTTATATAGATAGATTGTAATGCATTCTAGTAAAATAATAAATTTAGGATTACATTATAATAAAGCATACCAATCTGAGGAAGTCAATTACGCAATGTACTGGGGACTGCAGGAGGATTTTGCCGCGAATGCAAAAGATCCATAAATCGGCAATTTTTTCCCAGATTTCAGGGTCAACGATCCCACAGATTACAGAAGTCGGGAATTGCAAGAATGCATGGATGATTGAAACGTGGAATTTTTGTTATTTTTCTGTATTGATTTGAATTACATCTGTCTAAAGTTGCAAGGAGCTTTTTATGGAGTTAGTAGATCAGTGACCTGTGCCGGTAGATAATCAATGAAAACCCTTAAGAGTATATTATTTTTAAAAGGAGTCTCGTTACAGTATATTGATTACAGTGGAGTAAAACAGTTCTGTTACAGTTGAAATCAAAAGGTATTGCATAGTGGATGAGCAGGTCTAGTCTGTTTAAATCTGTAATTTACATTGAAGCGTACATCTCATCATAATAGCAATATTATTGGCATAAAGGTACAGTTGGTTTCTATTTGCAGAGGTAAGACATTTCACACAAAAAATCTCAAAATTAATATAAGACAATTTAAAAAAAATATTTTCTTTCTCAAGGCCATTATTTACTGGATGCGAGCTTTACAATGTGTTATTTATAATGAAAAAAAAATTTGTAATGTTGACAATGTGAATATATTTTACCATTCTAAAATTCACATAATTTGCTCAAAATTATGAATTGTTATTTTTTAACATCCAAGTTCCAATATTATACATTTTACTGTGATCTATTTTGCAATAACTTTCCCATAAATGTTACACTTCTGTGCATTGCTGGCTTGTCATACTGGATAATAATTTTCAACCTTCCTAATTCCAGTCACTATTTCAACTAAATTGTGCTTAAGATTGTATCTGTCTTGAAAATGCATGAATGCGTTTATGAATTAAATATTGTCTGCGGTGTTTGTTCCTCCTACATGCAGCTGTTTTATTTGCAGGGAATACATGATGAAACAATGTTAAAATTTCGCAATTAATATCGCCACATGTAACAACCATGTAATATAAGCATGCTCGTTACCTATTGCCATTATTGTGATATGACAGTGCTTTTGTCATGGCATGGGGTAGGATCAGGAAAAATTAATTCCAATCACCATTGAGGGTTCAGACTAAAATGTAATAATATAATTAATGGTTGATCACTTTAAAATGTTAATCTACCACCATACGTGAGCAGTGATGTATGTAATTTGCCTCCTCCAAACAAGCATTATCACTACCTAGGATTGGCTCCATCCTCTACTGCATTCCATTTGTATGTGTATGCATCCATGTGTGTTTGTGCCTCTCTTCTCTTCTCCTCATTCTCATGCAGGCTAATGATGATTGCTTCCTCCTCAGCACTATTCCAAACAGCTTTGATTGCCTCATGTAACTCCTCCAACATGCTCTGCATTCCCTTGTATATAATGTGCTTAAATACTGCAATATATGATGTTGTTTTTCATTATACATGGGTTTTATTCTAGCATCTGTTTGCTGTATTAAAGAATATAAAATATAGTTTTGGCCCCAAAATATTTAAATCTCCATCATTATCACACTTTCCTGTTTTAAACTATTGTATGACAACATGCTTGAATATACAGAATGCTATTCCGGCTAGATGAAGGAGCAAATAAAAATGTTCACTTTAAGAATTTTACTGACAATAGGAAACCATTTGTCTGGGTAAATTTGGTATGCCGTTTGTTCAAGGTTGTTTTTAAAGAAGAAAGCAAATGGTTTTCATCCCACTGTGTGCTGCGGGTGCAGGTCAGATTAATGGGAGCCGGCCTTCAAATGTGGACAACACCACACTTGTGGTGATTATTGTATGTGTTGGAGTCATCACCATCATCGTCATTGTCCTTGTGGCCATCATCTGCAATCGTCGCATGGCTGCTGAGCACAAGTACGGGTCCTATACTCCAAATTCAGACATCAATTGGCACATTTATTAGGAACACGCCATCCCTCTGGGTCTACATTAAGCATTAATATTAACACCACTGATACGTTTATTAGTCCGTTCAATGTAAGCTGCTTTTGGAAAAGCTGCATTTTAGAGTACCGGCAACTGTAGTTAACACATTTGACCAACTTGGAATTATAGACAGAACCCTGGAGTCGCAGGTGTAGTGAGTAACACTACATTTTTAAAGGTTGATATGAGAAAAACAGGGTTTAACATATTACACTTTATTTCTGGCACCAACTTTATTCAAGTTATTAACCTGCCAAACAATCTCAATATGGATGGAATAATGCTTCATGAGATCATGACAAGTCGAGGCTTTCTTCAAACAGTGAATTGATCATAGCTGTTGTTGTTGATGATATCTTCCTAGCCTTAAAGGACTTAAAAAATATTGAATATATCTTAAGCATGGATATGAATGACAGGTAATTGCTGCAAAACGTGGAGGTTGCAATAAAGCACGTAAAAAAACTATCAACTTTCATTCACATCATGCTTAGATGCAACATGAGCTCAACATATTTCTTAATAGTCAGCATTTACCACACAATCTAAAGTTGGGGTCCACCCTACATCGCTCACTCACAAATACCACCTCCAAAGTTAGTTTAAAAGATCAAAAGCAGAAAATGTCTCCTAAATAAACGCATTGGGTTCGCCTGTAGAGCCAATGCACAAACGCTGTGCAACACAGAGCTTGGTTTTTGCTACTTTGGTGGTGAATACTGAACTATGCCCACACCAGCCTGGCGGACAGCCCTTAATTGTACCACCATGAGAACTATCACAGACACATTGAAACAAACTGAGATTGCTTTGCTAGCAGTCCTAGCCAACATCCTGGAAGCTAATATACACTCATTGGAGTCTGTGAAATGTAAAAAAGTGGTGGTTACAACACTTAAAGATTACGATGCACCTTTGAATGAAAGGGTAAGAAATTAAATGCTGGGGAGTTCCATCCCAAACATTCTTAAATAATTATGAAATGAATTTCCTAAACCTGCTACAAGAGACAAGATCCAACTTTGATTACTAGAACTTTGTGCCTTTTTCATCCCCCCCCCCACCTAATATGATTATGTGGAGAAGTTGTGTGTCTACATGCATGTTTGTGTTTGTTGAAAACAATTCTACATGGCAGGAAGCGCGCGGCAGCCTGCAGCTCCAAGAGAAAAAGCCACGCACTGGACTTGAGTCCACCGGACCTGTGGATACACCATGAGCGTTTGGAGATGAGAACTCTGGTGAAGTCCGCTTCAGGCGCCGAGTCTGGAGTCACAGAAACTCCTGTGTCACGCCACTCACAGGAAATACACACCATCGAGCCCTGTACCATTGACAGCCTTACAAGACGCAACTCTTACATTGGTGAGAAAAGTACTTGCACCCAGAAATGACTTTGGTTAAATTTTTAGTGAATATGCTACAAGAGTTGGAAGTGCATTTGGAAGTGTATGACATGATGTCTAGTAGAGATACACTGATTATCCACTTTGAGTCTGGGCAGTCTGATTTACGGTAGTGTTTTCACTATTCAAGTCTAGCCAGGTAGAAATCTTTAAAAAATTTAAAGCTGGATAATACTGTTTTTAATTCACAGCACTGATCGCCACGGTAGTTTCATTACCTTGTGGCACCCAGAGTAGGGAGGGGGAGGGGAGGGATGGAGGTGAGGGAGAGTGCTGTCGGGGGAGCAGCATCAATGGTTGAAGGAGGGGGTCCAAACCATTCCAACACCCATGAGCACATGCCATCACATACGCAGACAGAAATAGAGACATTGGTATTGCTCAGCTTTCGTATGGTTGATGTAGATGCAAAGCAACAACGACAATTTCACATTTGGGTGGTAAGCCGGACAACTGCGGCAGTAGCAGCAGCAGTGTGTACCGCTGTGATGTCTCCTTCATATTTGTGGACCGGGAATTGCATCGTTATGTTGTATGGTCTGTTCTGGATGACCACAGTCGCACACTGGAAAGATTTCAATATTCCATTTGTGCATCATGGTTTGAGCAGATGCGGTTTAGGGTGGACCCTGAGCTTTGTGGAAGATCAAAACCAGGGATCTTTGACATTGGGTCTTTCACAAGGTGTATGTGAGTTCTTTTGAGCTTCAATCAGCTCTCGAAGCCTCATTGGGGTTGAACTCACATTGTTGAAGGTTCAGTGCATGGGTCCGAAAGGGCTTGCTTAACTTCAAGCAATGACGAGGGATGTTATTGAGGTTCTGATGAATGGGAAAGTGACTGTTTTCCTCAATCCGCAGGACTTCCCGGAGGGTTGCAGTGTTGCGGCGGATGGATGGGGGAGAGATGTGTGACAGCATGGGCATTCAAGTTATTGGGGTCGACCTGAGGGTTCCAGTGATACACCGCACTGCAGTGCTAAGTTGGATATCAATACGTTGAGTGTGACTACTTCTGGTCCATACTGGTGCACAGTACTCGGCTCCAGAGTACACACGAGCCATCATTGATGTCCGTAGCACTAGTGCTGATGCTCCCCAGCTTGTGCTTTCCAGTTTATGGACCAGGTTGACCCTTGTTTTGGTCTTGTCGGCTACCTTCTTCAGGTGGTTGTAGACTACGTGACTTTACTGAAAGAACCAAGAAGATGAATCCCTGCAGTCACGAAAGCTTTAAATCGAAATTCACTCACTTGATGTTTTTGTTGAGCCGTTCTTTTGTGTTCTCCACTAGTTTGAAGGCTACAGAGTTAGGCAGGACTCTTGCAGTCTGGTATTCTGTTGGGTTAGCAGCATTGCGATGTTGTAGTAGGGCCCAGGCACCAAGTCCAGGCCTTGAACACACTCATCCACCTCTAACGTCTGGCTGATTCTAAAGACTAGCAGGGCCTTTCCAACCTATGGGCTGCCCAACTGGTTCTACTGTTGGAGAAGGTCCTGGGTCTCTTTTGTCCAGCAGGGAGTGTATTCTTTCCGGAAGCCTCAGGGAATGCTCTTCTTGGCAGCTGCTGTGAGGACGCCAACAAAAAGGTGATAACATTCCGCCGTCATGGGAATTTGACTCGCCACTCTTTCTACAACCTCCTTATAGTGGTCCTGGTTAGCTTTGGCCAGGTTGCACCTTAGTAATCGTTTTGACAGAATCACAGGGATTTAAATGGCATGTGGGTGTTGACGGGCCTATGTTGACTTTTGGGGAAGTTTGGGAGTATTTTGAGGGATGCGTGAAGTGTGCTTCCATTTCGATCTTTGGAAACGATGGTGAGATCGAGGTTGGAGTCGCTTTGTCAGCGAGCAGAGTGGAAAGTTGCTTGCTGGTTAGGATCGAAAGGAAGGTGCATATCTCTGGTGAACATCCAGTCAGTGAGGCCTTTGCCATCGACCTGATCTACTGCATAGCTCCACACAGTATGGTGGCTTTTAAAGACACCATTGTATAGGGCTGGGATTGATGCACTTGGGAGTGCTGGTTTTGGCCATTTTTAATTAGGGGCTTTAAACACGTTGGTGATGTTAAGTTCCCCTATCTTGATGCTGGTAGCTTTTTAAGTTGGTGGGAAGGCGTGATAGTGTTCTTGATGTATATGGCCAAGCGATATTTCGGGTGGTAATGGCTCGTCGTGAGGTATCCATGGATGTGGTACAGTACTGGCATGTAGGACATCCAAGACGTGGGTTTCTTGGAGCCACAGTACATCAAAGTTATCTGGCATGTTGTTTGGCCCTGAAGAAGGCCATTGGCATGGCTTGTGCTGTTGCTCTGGAGACTGGGAAATGGACGATCGATGTTCGGTCGCCGCATTCATCGCATCCGTCGTGATTTCTCACTTAACAGAGTGGATCGCGTGAAGGCTGCCATCATCCATTCCACATAGGTCGTGAAAAACACAAACACAGACACATTTCGGGAGAAAAGCAGTGATAGAAAAACACAGAGAGAGATAATTGGACAAATAGACAGAGGGTCTGTATCTGTGTGTATGTGTATATGATGTGTATAGCGGTGGTGCTGTGATAGCAACACCAGTGACTATTATCTGAACTTGTCCTGGGCCTCACATAGCCTCAAATGAGTACCTGCGGTGATATGATAACATCACCACTAGGGAGATAATGGTGGGAAATGACTGATGCAGATTCTGCAGGATATAGGTGAAATGTCAAAGTCAAAAATCAAGCTTGGGCAGGAAATAGGAGAATGGTTCGCATCAACAAACGGTACGAGACTGAGATCCACTTTCACCAACCAACTTCGTCACATACTTGCAAAGAGTAATTGATGCCATTCAGGACAAAGGCACAGGGATATCTGTGCAAGGAGAACGAATAAATAACCTGACGTTTGCAGACGACGTAAATCTGATGGAAGAAAGCTGCGTAGTACTGCAGGAAAGTCTGCGTACGCTGAGTAAGGCAGGAAATTACGCAGGACTGAGGATTAACTTGGAAAATACAAAGACGGTGTTTGGAAGGGAGGATGTTGAGAAAGGAGGAGTCGTAGAAATCAGCAAAATTGTGAATGTGAAGAAATGTTATATCTTGGGAAGTCTCCTGACATGGGACGACTGCACGAAAGGGATAAGAGCGAGGATTCGCAAAGACAAAAGGAGTAATGGCAGGATTCAACAACATCTGGAATAGCAAACAAATCAGCTATAAGGCCAGACTGAACATCTTCATAACATGCGTGTTCAGTACAGCTGTGTATGCCTGCGAGACTTGGACATAAAAAATTAACCCGTAAAAACAAAGTTTTTCACTCTAAATCCTTAATATGCGTGGCGGCTAGAGTCCTCTCGTCCTCTGGCTTGAGATGGCTGCCACCTATGGGTCAGATGATTGTCTGCCAGCATTAAGCAATTGGTAATTAAATATTTAAATTTTCCCTAAACAGTGTAACATTTTGGAATTTTTTTTTCACGAAAATTAATTGTCACGCACAACGAGTCTGTGTGGAAAATGTCAGCTCGATTGGATCACGGGAAGTGTGTTAAAAAACGAACGAAAAATTTGCACGGTCGTAAGCAAGCAAGCAAGCACGCAAGCAAGCAAGCGAACTTAATATAAAGGATTTTAAAAAAGACTGACAGAGATAAGATATTGGCATTCGAAATGTATTGCTACAGGATGCTGTATCCAAACTGGACCCAAAAGAGTGACCAACGTAGAAGTAAGAACAACGTTTGCACATAGAAGACCTGATGCAGGCAGTGATGAGAAGGAAACTGCAACTACAGTATTTGGACACACATGTAGGATGGACAACGACATGGCAATTAAAAGTGTGTGGTTTAGAAAAATGGAAGGAACAGGAAAGAGAGGAAGCCTAACAGAGAATGTCTTGAGGACACAAGGTACCAAAGCGATGTGGCACTACTTGAGCATGTTGGCACAAGCCCCGGAGGAAAGTGGAAAGAAATAACAAAATGTTCCGTGGACACCTCGGGGGCTATCTGCCCATGGATTGTGATGATGATGATGATGAGAATACAGTAAAAGCTTAGATTGCGAGTAACTTGGTCTGCGAGTGTTTTTCAAGACGAGCAAAATGTTTTAATAAATATTAATTTGATAAACGAGCGAGGTCTTGCAATACGAGCAGCACGTGTATACGCTTTGTCTGCCGAGCGTCACGTGATCACAACTGATATACGAGTGCTTTGATATACGAGTGCTTTGGATTACAAACACGTTTCCGGAACGAATGTTTTACTGTACACATATCCTTCCATGTATATAAAATTAAACATGTGTATAATGTGAATTTTCACTGACCTGCACACATTAACTTGGATGGCTGAATGCTGGTTAACCTCGAGTGGCATGTTTGTGTACTGCAGTGCACGAGGGAGAAGACTGTGCCACACTGTCGTCCCGCCGGTCTATGAGGTCCAACGTCATGATTCCACTTGACAGCCAACAGTCCGTGCAATGTGAGTTCTCCTCGACTGCCATTCTACCACCTCTTATTCATACTGCCATGCTCCAATAGCAGGGTCATGATCACAGCCTCTTTCAAAAAGTATTCGGTAGTCAATGTGGGGCTATTTAATGGCTTGAATTCTGGTGCAATATTTTGTGATATACTAAAAGATTTATTATAAAATGAACACTAAATCAAAGTGATCGTTAAATGATAACGTCAAAGTTAGTCTTTATAGTGGACAATAGACTTTTTGTTTCATGACCATAAAGGTTTACATGTATAATTCTGTATGAATGGGTGTTATTTTGTATGTCACACCATGGGTCTCATGCCATTTAGCGCAAAAATAAGGTAAAAAAAAACTCTTTGCTTGATTGAAGGGGGTTTTTGTCCACCATTTACTTGCTCAATGCCAGGTTTATTGCGCTTACAAGACAACTTGTTATCATAGAGTGGTCCTTGCCTGCATCTTGCTTCCGTGCGTGTTGTGCGAATATTTTATTTCGTGTCAGACATAAAACAACCTCAATGTTGGCTTAAAATGCACAAAAATAAAGTCATGCACATTTGATACAAAACATTATATACAATAATTATTAGAGGTTTTAAAACTCCAGAATGCAGCAGTAGACTACGAGGGTTGGCATTGGCTATCAGAGTAGCTAAAATAAAACACTCAAATGCCTCGACCGCAATACGTCTGAGCACGAACTAAAACAAAGTCAGTCGCAGTCATGTTGCTGACAGAGGCCTGTCAAGAAATTTGCCAGAAACTCTTAACATTTATTCAAATATTAGTCCCTTCCAATTAAATTGAACTTCATAAATAAATGTGTTTGTGAATATGAATGCTTACTTTGGCTAAATACTTCACTCATAGTCATCTGAAAACACAGTTCAGAGAGAAATGAAAGAAAGCAATGGTGAATATGCAGATTCGATTCATACACAGTAATCGCAGCACAATAACCAAGAATCAGGATATTACGAGTCACAGAAAACGCTGTTCAGAGCGCAAGGCAATAAATTTCATTCTTTATATGGTAATTATTTAAATTATGTTGGATAAAATAGTTGCAAAACCATAACCGAGGATCACCACGTATTATATGTTGGCCACAATCCTGCTTAACGACTCCTGTCCCAGTAAATCTTGGACCAGGGTTTACCACCTCGGGTTGCCAAATGAAACGAAGTAAATGAAGGTATGAGGACATCAAGTTCACCGACAAACGCCATTAGAGTTAAGCGTACTCGTTCAAATAATAATTATATTTCATACAGTGTCGTTCATGCGAAACTACATCTCACAATGCTGTACAAGAGAATGGCAAATACATTTCTATATTTCTGTTCGCAAAAAGAATTGCACACCCAAACCAAGATTAACTCAACTCAATTAAAGGCCACAGTCATTCAAAAGGGTTTTTTAAAGGGACTTAAATAGTGGAAAGGACTTTAAAGTTGACAAGTGGAGCGGGAGTGCATTTCACACCATGGGAGCTGCAGATGCGAATGCACGCCCACCCACTGTCTTGCATTTAATTTTAGGCTGAATGAGCAGCTCCATACAGGAACATCGGAGGTGTTGCTGTTTGGCACTCGATCTGGCAATGAAGGGATATATATATAGGCCAGGGCAAGTCCATTCAAAATGTTGTACACCATCAGTGCAATGAAGGGAATATAATGGGGGTGAAATGTTCTCATTTCCGAGTGCGAGTTAGCACCCTTGCAGCAGCATTGTGGACCTGCTGAATCTGTTGAATATGAGAATTTGGAAGACTATATAAAATATAATTGCACTAATCCAGCCTGGAGGTTATGAAGGCATGAATTAGTGTTTCAGAAACAGCTTGAGTGAATTAGCTATGAACCCGGGATATCCTATGGAGTATGAAAGAAAGTAGTTTTACATAGAATAGAGACATTCTTGGTTCTTTCGATAAAGTCACGTAGAAGGGAAATAATAAAATAATACTAAAAATATATGTAAACAAAAAAATTTCACGACGTTTCCACTGCAACACAAGCAATCATCATGTGTTTGCTTGTGTTGCAGTCGAAACGTCGTGAGAATTTTATTGTTTTATATTTTCATTATTTTATTATTTCACTTCTACGTGACTTTACCGAAAGAACCAAGAATATGAATCCCTGCAGTCACGAAAGCTTTAAATTAGAAGAAAGATGTGAAGAGAAAATGACAGATCTGAATCCAAAATGACACCAAGACCGCATACTTCCTTGACAATAATCAATTCAGAGTTAAATAAATTACTCGTTTGTCGTACCAATTTTAATTGATCGATTTTCTTGATATTAATCAGGAGAAAATTAGATGCGAGCCAATCGGATATCGCAGTGAGAAGGTATGTAAGGAGCAGTAGAGGACCACGAATAGAGCCTTGGGAACTCCATAGAAAGAAAGAAATGCCGATCGGAAAGATAAGAAAGAGACCCAAGCAAGAAGAGCATCAGAGACACCCACATGGCTGTGTAGGCGCTCGAATATAGTGATCACATGTGGCAGAAAGAAGATCATTCAGAACTCATAAAAGAGGAGTTTCAGTTGAATGATGTGCCCAAAAACCAGATGCAGTGGATCATAAAAATTATGTTTTAAAAGAAGGTTAGTTAAATGGTTGACCATGATAAGTTCAGGAATCTTAGAAATCAACGGTAGATTATAAATAGGACGAAGATTTGTTAGATTATTCAAATCAAGTGAGGTTTTTCTTTCAGAATCAGGGTATCTGTAACCATATTCAGTTCAATTGGGACAACTTTAGATACAAATTATTGATTTTATAATTTGGGTTATGTGTGGAACAAGTGTAGTTGTACAAGCCACAAATGAGGATGGTAAAGGATTTATTTGGAAGTTTTTTTTTCAGGTCATAAATGATCAAAGTTGTTGCCCTTTAATTAACTAGTGAAGGGAGATCCAAGACCTAAACACCATGGGGGAATATTTCTAGAAATTCCCACAAAACAACAGTCACTGCATTTCGTCTTGATAATAGGCGATGCAAGCACACTCTGAAAGTGACCTCCTGCAGCAACACTGTGCAACACGACCCCATTCCAACCTATCTGGGAGTGAAGTTGGATTGTACGCTAACCTTCTATGACCACTTGAACAAGGTAGCTGCCAAGACCAAAACAAGGATCAACTTTATGGGAACCTCATTTGCCAGTAAAAATATGATAATTGTTTTTTTTACCCTTCTATCTGGCAGATAGAAGGATAAATAAGTATAACCCGTAAAAACAAAGTTTTTCACTATAAATCATTTATATGCGTGGCGGCTAGAGTCCTCTCGTCCTCTGGCTTGAGATGGCTGCCACCTATGGGTCAGATGATTGCATTGCACCATTAAGCAATTGGTAATTAAGTATATTATTTTTGTCCTAAAAAGTGTACAATTTTGGGAAAAAATTTCCACGAACATTAATTGTCACGCACAACGAGTATGTGTGCAAAATGTCAGCTCGATTGGATCACGGGAAGTGGGTTAAAAAACGACCGAAAGATTTGCACGGTCCTAAGCAAGCAAGCGAACTTAATATAAAGGATTTAAAAAAACAATTATCAAGGATCAACTTGGTCCAGAAACTGGCAAGCACAAGCTGGAGAGCATCAGCACCAGTGCTACGGACATCAACGATTGCTTGTGTGTACTCTGGAGCCGAGTCCTGTCCACCAGCATGGACCAGAAGAAGTCACACTCATCTTATTGATGTCCAACTGAGCGCTGCAATGCGGTGTATCACTGGAACCCTCGAGTCGACCCCAACAACCTGGTTGCCCGTGGTGTCACACACCGGTCCCCCACCCATCCGCTGCAATGCTGCAACCCTCTAGAAAGTTCTGCGAAAATAGGAAACAGTTGCCTTCCAATTCATCAGGACCAATGGGCTACACCTTAAACAATGTGAGTTCAACCCCAGTGAAGCTTGGAGAGCTGAATGGAGTTCAAAATAATTAATAAACAAACACCTTGTGGTCTACCCTAAACTGCATCTGCACAAGCCATGGCAGATCCGGATACCTGATGCAGAGGACATGCTAATATGTGACACTAAGTCTGAAAAATCTGATAGAAATTTGGAAATTGACTTAGGAGGATGATAAACCACAGACAATTTTAGCTCTATTGAAAGTAGTTCAAGTTCAATGTATTCAAATGAGGAATAAAATGGTTTATGTTGGTAAAATAGAGATGTCATCCTTGTTACAAAAAACTTTACTTGGCAATAACCGCAACACCGCCTCCTCGACCCACAGAATGAGCGCATTCCATAAAATGATAACATGGAGGAATTGAAGCGTATATAACGAGTGATATCTAATGAGGACTGCCAAATTTGTTTTTCAAGGACCTGTTATTCTAGGGGGCTAGTTTAATGGAGGTGGATACTGGTTGAGATCATATAGGTGTGACAGGAATTTGATTTTTAGATGACAAGCACCTTCTGCGAGGTGGTAGATGGGGGTGGGTATCAGAATCCAGGGGTATGTGAAGGACTATGCTCTTTGCCGGTCAAGCCTTCGATTAGCACGGTTGGCTACATACGGTGTGAAAGAAGTTCAACATGCATACAAGCCAATAGAGCAGAAGGATGTATATGGATTGCTGGTGATTGAGAGATACCTCAGTGTCTACTGGACCTCCACGTTGACAACTAGAAATCAGGAGCTTCGTGGGCAAAGAAGGCAGACAGCATTGACATCGCGGGATCTGATTTTGCTGCACCGACGACGGGACCAATCGGTACTAAGAGCCCCAACTGTTCTGGAATTACAGACCACACCATGGCCAGAACCACGGTGTAAGTAATGTGGTTTTGGAGAATCCCATTAGCATTGTAGATACGGTGTAGCTATGAACATTGTGAAACAAAAATCCAAAGGTCGTAAGTTCCGCAGGGCAGAGGCTGAGTACATAAACATGATCTATTATTTTTCTACCTACGTGACTTTACCGAAAGAACCAAAGAGTATAAGAAACCAATCAATGCAAAGATAACAATCCTCAACAGCGATTAACAATGTCAATGACAAGTGCAAGATATCGAAGTAATGGTAGCTATAGTAATAGTTTTTGTTGTTGAAGTTCTCTTCACTGTAGTAGTTGTAAACATATTCTTTGGGTCTTTCAGTAAAGTCACGTAGATAGGTTCAAAGAAGTTGTAAACAGGTGTAAATGTGGTAGTTGTTGTAATTGTTGAAGTAATCATCAAATATGGAGACGAGTAACATAGTTTGTTTTTGGAGATGATGTAGAATTTATAGAAATATAAAAATTAAAGAATATAGCTGCAGCTGCTGTTATAGTTATTGGAATTGTTGTGGTAGATATGAGATAGTTGTCCTGAGATAACCCCCATCTCTGTCCGTTCCTCACACACCATTGTCGCTAGTCCACTGAGGACGCGTAATACGTCTTTCTGCCCAGCCGATAGGCCTGGCCACTGACTTGACGGGGCTGCCCTCGGCATGCCTCAAACTCATCTGTATCTCTATCCCATATGTTGCGGAATACCCCTTTCCACTAGCCATGTGGTCAGGGGGCGATGGGCGATGGCTGCCCCCAAACACGAGCGGGAGCCCCCCCCCCCCCCCCCAGCTCAGGCCACACCCGAGGGTTCGGCCGACTCCCCATCTGGCCCTGCAGTGAGGCATGCTGGGTAGCTGGGGGTAGAGAAGTGGCTTCGAGCCGTGCTCGCCCCCAGAGTAGCACCACTTGGGGGTGCCCTTCTTTCCCCCCCAAGTGCTGTGGCATACCACATTGGCTCATGGTTGCATGCACGGGAAACATTTTGCACCTCAACACATCACACAGGGGTTTTCTTCCCCATCTGCCTCATACAGTTCACCCTCTCCCCTGATTGCCAACACTCCCTGTCAGGTGCTGTGTGTGCCTCTATGTATACGATCTACCTGTGCATTTAAATATGTATATATCCTTATGTTTCTAGATCTACTATGAGGTGGGGCCTTACCATCAACCTCCCAAAACTAAGCACCTGCCTGGGTATTTTGTATAATAAAATACTCCACCCCCTCAACTCCCTATTGGCAGGGCAGTTGTGGAGAGAGTGGAGAAGTTTCTAGACCTGGGCAGTGTGCTTATGACCAGCTCCGGTTTGACAGCAGATGTCTCACTCTGAATCGGTCGAGCGGCATTGTCTTTTCATCCGCTGTGTAACGCTGTATGGAAGCTATCTGGTCCCTCACTCCACATGAAGCTTTGGGTCTTTTCAGCCACGGTCATGCACTCTCTTTTTGATGCTTGCGAAACGTGGACCCCCCTAATGAACATCTACCCCGGTTATAAACATTCAGGCTGGCCTGCCTGCAATAAATCCTGGGTTTAACCAGACTGGATTGTGTGAGGAGCTCACAAATCTTTGAAAGATCTGGACACAGTCCCATTGGTTAGCCCCTCCAGGGGGAAAGTCTGCATTGTTTTGGTCATGTAGCCTGCATGCCCAGCCACTGCATGCCCAAACAACTTTTGTTCGGCTGGATAGAGGGGGCTAAACGGGCATGGTACGGGCTAGAGAAGGGTTTGAATAATGTGGCACGAGAGGATGTGGAGCTGAGTGGACCTGCCAATGACTGGTACCAGCGGTGTCAATATTGGCCTCTATGGAGGAGGCTAGTGAAGGATGCTAATGGGCAGTTGGAGGCAGTCGCCCTCCAGCAACAACAAAGGACAGAGGAGCGACGCTCACAACATCAAGCGGAGCGCCGGGTGGCTAAAACACAACAATTTTGCACAGTAGGCGCCACAGGTGGTGCACCCATGACACCTGGGTCTGTCCCATGACCTCTTGCCAACGGACGTTCAACACTTCTCATGGCCTTAAAGTGCATATAGCCTGGCATAAGCGCCGTGGTGACGTCAACGCCACTTGGTGACAGATGGCGGTTGTATCGATCTATGTGGGTGGGTTATTCCAGGGTGCTCTTCCCTCACCCCGACTCTGCCTACCCAGGATTAATTACTGAGTGCGTGTGGGGCAATGGTTCGCACACTGTGAGGAGTTCACTGTTCGTTGAGGTTATTTCGAGTAATATCTTCTCTGGCAACCTTCTCCCAGCTGCTGTTTAACGAGATGTACCCTGCTATGGCCGCCACTCAGGCTATTCGTAGGTAACAAAGAAAATTGTCTTCATTCCCACTCTTCTTCCCCTGTTCAAGCACCGAGTGTAGTGAGTGCTGCTATCGAGATGTATTGTGTTTAGTCTTATCTGAGAGAGGGAACTACCCTACTCGTGGAACATATTACTTGGTATTGCCAACCCCGACGGTAGCCCTATCGTAGTCTAAAATTGGACGTTGACATCAATCGCACTCTACGATAACTCCAGAGTGGACAGCCTTGTGTACGCCGTGCTGGCAACAGGGAGGGTTTTTTTAAACTTTGGGCTTCTCGTTCCAGCCAAGGCCACTCATAGAATGACTTACCTATCACCACTACTCAATCGTACACACACAGCATACAACTACCATTCACAACCACCACTACACGGCAGCCGTATTCACACAGCACACAAACCATGATAAAGAGACAAAGATGATGCAGAATGTTTAACCTTTAATCGCTCACTTCGGGCTTGACTTGTGAGCTCACCATCGCAACACTGGAACTCAAACGGTGTATGTTTTCATGGAACACAGCGTGTTCCTGATCGCCACACACGTGGTCTCGCCAGAACCATGTTTTCCAGACTGCCCCGCGGTCCACCATGCCTTAACCTTCCTGGGTTCTGCCGACTGAGCCCTAACTTTCTGAATTCCACGGAGCAGGAGGCACCTTCTGGAATTGGCCAGTTCCAATGACATCACTTGTCCCCCATTACCCCATCCACCCTATGGTGACAGCCCACTACTTTATGAAGGAGGCTGACCCATTCTCCCAGCGGGGGTGGTTGTGTCCAGAATCTGAACTCAGCCATCTTTTCCCTTCTGCTGGGGTCGCCATTGTTTGATCCACTTTGGGCTTCGCTTGTCAGGGAAAACGAATAATCAGGCCTCCACCGCGGAGTGACTGTGTTGACAAACCTCTGTGTAACCTTGGCAAAATGACGGCTCAAACAGCAACTGATATATAGATGCAGAGAGACATAGATAGACAATGGCACACAGCAGCATAAAGGTCATAATTACCAAGTGAATGTTAGGTGTGGCCCATAACTGCCAGAATTAGCATATCAATGCGCAGTATTGAGGAGAGGGGAGCTTTGATATCTGCGGCTCCACACATCTAAAAGGCTGGGAATTGTTTATGAATTAAGTTCTACAAGTCTTCTGTCCATGGAAGGTTTTTTTTCTCAGAAGAACAACACCTTGGCTTATGGCAGGTAGGTTACTACAAGTACATATACCTAGGCCACTTGTTGTAGACAATTATGGAACTATAGGAACTCATGAAATATAAAGTGAACAAGAGCACGTTGGTGCAACGCATTTATCTCATGTGCAGTAAGATGGATTGTATCATCAAGTAACTACCAGAGATGGTGTAGTTGTGGGGAGACATTCACCTAGAAATGAATAGAAGATGGCTAATGGTGACTTGCCACTTTAAGGTAAACCAAGCTGTGTTGTTTAAGTTACTTCAAAATAATAACTCTTTACATTGTTAACGTACGCAAACAATTATTTTGCTCCTGAAAATTTGCAACAAAATTATGATACCCCTTAAAGTTAAAAGTGATAATACTGATCTTTTTAAAGTTAATTCTAGATTTGAAGTTTTCGTGACTCCAATGATCCATACTCTTTCTTTCGGTAAAGTAAAAAGTTACTTTTGTAAAGATCAACACAAATGACTATGACTTGAACATTGCGCTTCATGTTAAGGTAATAGTTATCAATGATACAACGAGTATTACATATTTATAAGTTATGACCATTTATAAATGATTATATTCTGTTTAAAACTTAATTATACATGAACACTTATGGTCATTATATAACACATAATGCAACGACTTTGTTAATTAAACACAAATAAACGTAAACAAAAATCATAATTTCACACTTGTTTGAATATCAAGTTCCTTTGAATATCCCAGGCCGTTCATATCAGTGAAGTGTAAAACTTAAAATATCGTTCATAAATTCACATTTACACTGTAAATGTGTATTTGTGATTTTTTTTAAACGCAAGCTTTTATTAAAAAATGACAATGGCACATTGCTAACTTCTATTTATTCTCATTTAACTTTGGTTTTCTGTTGCTTTGTTTTAATATCATTTGAATTTGACACAATTTTTACAGCTGCCCCTTGCCATCACACCATGGATCACACTCATCACCTCTCAAACTGCATTCTGCCCTCCCCTGGGAGTCCCCAAGTGCTTGGACATCTCGACCTGACCTATACTGGCCAGCGGGGCATCGGCACCATTACTGCTGCCGGTGGGTATTGCCTTTCAATGGCTCGAATACCCCCAGCAAGATTGAGCAGAGTTTAATTTTAAAATGTTTTAATGTCAGTGTCACTGCAGTCCAGACTGTACTTTTGCTAATATTTAACAAAGTGAGGGTCTTCAGTTTTTTTATATACGAATCAGTGTGTTCATTTTCCTTGTTAAGTCCGATATTAGTTCAATTTAATATCTTTTAAGGTTGGTTCATGTTTACAAATGGGATTGGACAACTGAAAATTAGTCAGACAAATTGCAAAATAGGTACATTGTTCCAAATGTTGGCATGTGGATACCTTGCTCATTACTGTGGCAATGTGGTGTGATCCTGACCTTATCCAGCAATATTATTCATGCACAACTTTTACCGCTGACCATAAACATTTTGTAGAGGCCCACACATGCTTTACCTATAATTAACTTCTCGATTATTCATGAACTGCAGTTTCAGAAGTATATGCCCAACATTCATCAGTGTTTCAAATTGTCTCTGGTTTTTAAACAGTTTGTCTACAAAAAATTACTTTGGTTACCAATTGCTAAATATACGATACACCCTTAATATTCGCAAGGATATGAGCCTTGAGAATGGCATGAAAATGTAATTCACGAATATTAATACTTAAAGCTTTAGGAAAATATAGTTAGGGGCATTAATGTGTATACACAGAACTGTATGTATATATGAATGAATACATATATTGTATAGTATTATCGTGTTATTTAACTTACCTTTAATGATGAACGTAAACATTTAAAATTTCAAATAAATCAATGGCAATTACGGAGTGAGTAATTTTTCAAAAAATGTAATTGCGCTCACATGTAAACTGTGTGGCAGACAAAGGCAGACTGAGAGGGAAAGCGTCGAGTGGGCAACTTTCACAATCTATGCCTCTTTTAGCTTGCTATGGTTGAGGATATTTAATATACAACCCCGCAAATTTCAGATAGCACTACCGTGAATGTGTTTTGAATACACAAAATCTGTATTATAAAACCTGCGAATATTCAGGTGTACAGCAAAGTTTTCACTCCATTACTTACTCTCTCATGCATACTGTAAAACATAGTAACATAAATTATTTTGAGCCAATTGCACATAAATAAATAGTTTTATTATTCTTCTTTGGTTCTTTCGGTAAAGTCACGTAGGTGAAAAAAAAAATCACGACGTTTTGATTGCAAAACAAGCAATCATCATCAGGTGTGACAACCACAGCAAGGACATTTTTTACTGAAGTGCTGTGGTTGTTAAACCTGATGATGATTGCTTGTGTTGCAATCGAAACGTCGTGATTTATTTATTTTTTCACTTACGTGACTTTACCGAAAGAACCAACGAGTATGGATCCTTGCAGTCACGAAAACGTCAAATCTAGTTTTATTATTAAACAAGAGGCCAATACCGAGTACAGACGATGGGGAGGCCGAGTACAGACAGCTCGCGAGCGACAAACTCGAGGCCAGGTGCCCTCGGGGTAGGGACTGGGAAAGGTGGCTGGGCTCTCACTGCCCAACTCGCGTAGGTGCAACGATTCGGGAAAATTATATTTTTAGAGAAGATGAGAGAGGGGCGGGGGGGGGGGGGTTGGAATGTACCCAAATAGAACCTAAAAATAAAATAACCTTCACGTGCCAAGTGAGTTTGTCATTATAGTAAATCCCCTGGAGGAGTGATATGTCAGGAGTCCATCCCTTTCACATGGCCTCTGACGGCATGCATACTCACGCAGGGTTTAGCAGCCTCGGGGACCATCTAGCCTCATATTCCCATTGTTTTACCTTGAGTTTATGACTAAGGTGACGTGTGAGTAGGTCTGAACCGTGCCTAGTGGGCATCTAAGACAGTCTAGCGAAGAATCGGTGAATTTGACCCTCCTTTCATGAGTCATGTAGGTCCCGTATAGGAAGTTTAATGTAATAAGCGTCTATGATAGTGACCTAGGGCCTGCAGCCGGAGCCTGCCAGATGTGAATCCACTCGTTTTGGGGAATGTCCTGGTCCAAGAGCTTTTCCCAGAGCTTCATAATACTGGGCCAGATCTGGAACTCCTCTTTATTCATGAGGAGATATGCTTCTGCCAGTCTGTATTTTTTCCTTGACATGTGCACAATGGTCATAGTTCTTATCTGGAATTTGGTGATAGCGATTTGTAGGTACCTAACTAAAATACCTGAGGGATGTTTTCATGTGCCTGCATTTGCTCACAGGAGATCATCTTGCCGCCTTTAGTCCAAAGGTCGCCAACCTTTTTCAAGCCTGTTACTTTCCAGCTGGGCCACTTGATCTCCCTGTTGCTCATTCTCAGGGGTTTCCCCATAGTGGGGATCGTTATTGTAGGGGAGCGGAGAAGGAGATATGTCTGTCCTTGCATATCCCCGGTTCAATGCCCCTGGAGTCTGTCTTTGGTTGGGGAGAGGGAAAACCTGATAAGGGACCATGGGCTCACAGAATCTTCTTCCAATTTTTCACTAGTTCCACGTTCTGAAGAGTGACTGCTTTGTGATATTTAAGGAGGTCTGGGAGAGCCAGGCCTCTCTCGTTCTTAGACAGGTTAAGGTAATGGTAGCGTATCCACGCTCGCTAGTTTGTGGTTCCAAATGTAAGAGGAAATGCGTGAGTGGAGTGTTTTGAAGTAGGCTCTCGGCATCTGGGTAGGGACCATTCGTAGGTGGGCTAAAGGCTTTGGACGGACCATCATCTTTACCAGGTGGGCCCTATTATGAAGTGAGAGGGGGATATCTGCCTATGCCACAAGTGAGGTGGTAAACTCCTGGAACAAAGGTATTTAATGTGCATTGGGCACCACGGCTTATATCCTGACACATTTCCATATTCCCTTACTCGGGTCAAAATGGCAAGGATCGAGGTTGCTGGAAGGACATTGTAGGCCAGTGGTGGGGAACCTTTATTCTGCCAAGGGCCATTTGGATATTTATAACATCATTCGCGGGCCATACAAAATTATCAACTCTAAAATTAGCCTGTTATATTTGGGCAAACATTTAATTAACTCACCCCTAATGTGATGGCTGGAACTGCTTCTCTTTGGCGAGGCATGTGATGATGTTAGCTGGTATTGATGATGATGCTGCTACTCGCAACTGCTTTTCCAGGTTTGCTCCAAGATTTATTGAATTTCGAGTCCCGCCTGCGGTTGCCTTGGCAGGGCCACACCAAATCATTTCGTGGGCCTCATACGGCCCAGCGGACCGGACGTTCCCCACCCCTTGTTGTTGGCGTATACGTTTAGTTTGCATTCCACTGTCCCGATATGTATTTCTGACACCTATTGACTTCTCTGAATGCTTTTGGCGAAGGGTCCCATAGCTAGGGTAAATAACAGTGGGGAAATGGGGCAACCTTGCCTGGTGCCTCTGCTCAGACAAAAGCTTGGAGATGTTAAGTAATTTGTAACCACGGTGGCCGAAGGGCGGCACAAAAAGAGTTTTCATTTGTCAATAAAGGAACCGGGAAGGTCGAAATTGCCCCTTATCCGGAATAGGAAGACCCAGTTAATTCTATAAAAAGCTTTTTCTCCATCCAGGGTAAGGGTGTAGGCAATTAGATTGTCCTTTGTAGCGAAATTTGCGGCGTTAACCAAATTCTTAATCTTGTCAGCCGAGTGTGTTTTTAATTAAGCCCGTTTGTGCTCCTCCAGTGATTGCCAGGGTGGCCTTTTCTAATCTGTTTGCAATAATTTTTGTGAATAGTTTGTTATTCGAGTTCAACAGTGAGATGGGCTTCTAGGGAGGGGGATTTGGCTCAGAAGGTATCTATTACCGCATTTGTCTGAGAGTCAGACGTATATAGGGACTCGTATAAATCTTAAAAGCGCACGTTTATTTATTCCATATTCCAGCCCTATTTACAACCAGAACTAAATAGTTATTAAATTAAGATAATTCGAGCCACAATAATCACATCCACAATCCCTGTTATCCACAGTCAGATTAATTTGTGTTCCTTCCAGTGACAGAATTGCACAATTGTGTATTTTTTTTTACTTTTACTCAAAAACACTAAAAACATCTTCATGGTATCCCTTGTGCACTTACATCTCGCTCGCTTCAGAAAGAATGCATTTATTAAAGTGGGGAATTGTGCAACTGTGGTTTTAGCAGTTTTTTGCTTTGATAATTATTTTATGAGGTTTGCTTCATATCCAGGAATGGACTAAGTAGTATAAACAAAACATTAACGAATATTACATGTTATCTATTACAAGACGTTTGAACAAAATAGAATAATTATTGGAGGGACATAGCTGGAAAATTTAAGAATGTCTATTTCTAGGAAAGTTCATGAAGGCAAAGTATGCAAAGGATGGAGGAACATTTATTTGCAGCATGCAGATGTACAATCTTGAGCAATACTAATTAATTAATCACTTGCAATGAGAAAAATTACACATTTTTCAGCAGCCACTTAACACTAACGACAACACTCTGCTCCCCAATGCAACGCAAGTTGTGGCTCACACTGCAGATTTAATCTGCAGCTGCCAACAAGGTTTTAATTCCCGTCGTACCATCATTTCAACTCGTACTACAGATCCAACCTGCAGCGGCTTCACCGGTCTCACAGGTGTTCCGCAGTTCCACTGCGAGTTTGACTCTAAGCATCCTCGCAGATGTCCTGTCATTCCATTCCAGATAGTCCCCGAGTTACGATGGTTTCCGACTTACGATATTTCGATCTTTACGATAGCGATTGTGATACGACAAAATTGTAAAATATTTTACATTTCGCGCGGCAGGCAAACGCAGTAGCGTACGAGGTACGATACTGTACGTTGGGAAGCTGTTGGGATGTACGCATCTCCCGCCTTGTGTGATGCAGATGGGATTGTTTCCTGAAAAAACTTTCTATTAAATTGCAGTTCATATAGGTAGGCTAAGAATTTACCTTGTTTTTTTTTACTTTACATTTTACTGTGCAATACAGTATTGTAATTAAAAATACATACAGTACATAGTTTATACAGTA